CAACCTCAATCTTCTCTCCATTTATTGTGATGCTGCTCATTGGTCCAGTTGTGAGGATTTTTGTTTTCTTTATGTTGAGATGTAATCCATACTGCAAGTAGGATGTAGAACAATGTTTTTGAGTAATATGTTGTACCAATTGAGCTTGATGTCTCCTGCGACCATGGATTTTTTTTGTGTGTATGGTGTGAGACATAGATCCAGTTTCATTTTTCTGCATGTGGAAATCCAATTTTCCCAGCACCGTTTATTGAAGAGACTCTTCTTTCCTCATCAGATGGACTTAGTATCCTTGTTAAAAATCAGTTGACCATAGATATATGGGGTTATTTCTGGACCCTCAATCCTATTCTGTTGATCTCTGTGTCTATTGTTATAGCAGTACCAGGCTGTTTTGGTTACTGTAGCTGTATAATAGGTTTTGAAATCAGGAAGTGTGCATCTTCCTACTTTATTCTTCTCTTTCAGCATTGTTTTAGCTATTTGGGGCCTCTTGCCATTCCATATAAAGTTGGGTTTTTCTATTTCTGTAAAGAAGGCTGTTGGAACTTTGATCGAGATTGCATTGAATCTGTAGATTGCTTTGGGTAGTATTGACATTTTAACAATATTAGGTCTTCTGATCCATGTACATGAAACTTCTTTCCATTTATTTAAGTCTTCTTTAATCTCTTTCAGGAGCTCTGGTGGCGTAGTGCCTAAGGCATTTGGCTGCTAACCAGAAGGCTGGTGGTTTAAACCCACCAGCCACTCCTTGGAAGGAAGGTTGGGCAATCTAATTCCATTGCGATACTGCCTCGGAAACCCGAGGAAGGATCACTATGAGTTGGATATTACTCGAAGGCAGTGAGTTTGGTTTGGGTTTTAATCTCTTTCAGCAGTGTCTTATAGTTCTCATTGTATAAGTTCTCTACATCCCTGGTTAGATTTATTCATTTAAAAAAATAAAAGAAGAAGAAAGGAAAGAAAACCAAACTCATTGCCGTCGAGTCGGATCTGACTCATAGCGACCCCTTCTTGGGTTTCTGAGGTGGTATCACTACAGAAGTAGATTGCCCAATCTTCCTTCTGATGAGTGACTGGTGGATTTGAACCATCAGCTTTCTGGTTAGCAGTCAGATGCCATAGCCACTACCCTACCAGAGCTCCCAGATTTATTCATAGTTATTTTTTTTCTCTTAGATGCTATTATAAATGGAACTGTTTCCCTAATTTCCATTTCAGATTTCTCATTGCTAGTGTATAGAATCCCAACTGATTTTGTTTGTTGAGCTTGTACCCTTCAACTTTGCTAAATTCCTCTATTCGTTCTAGAAGTTTTCTTGCGAACGTTTTGAGATTTTGTATATATGGGATCATCTAAAAAAAAACTCACTGCCATTGAGTCGGATCCAACTCATAACGACCCCTCCTTGGGTTTCCGAGGTGGTATCACTACAGAAGTAGATTGCCCAACCTTCCTTCTGAGGAGTGGCTGGTGGGTTTGAACTGCCAGCCTTCTGGTTAGCAGTCAAGTGCCTTAGGCACTATGCCACCAGAGCTCCCATATGGGATCATAGCATCTGTGAATAAAGATATTTTTACTTATTCCTTTCCAGTCTGAATCTTTTTATTTCTTTTTCTTATTCTCTTATTTTTCTTATTTCTTTTGCTAGGAATTCTAATATAATATTGACTAGAAGTGGTGAGAGCAGGCACACTTGTTTTTTTTCCTGATTTCAAGGAGAAAGCTTTCAATCTTTTTCTGTTAAGTATAATGTTGACCATTGGCTTTTCTTATATACCCTAAATCATATTGAGGAATTTCCCTTCTATTTCAGTCTCCTTTAGAGTTTTCATCCAGAAAGGTTGTTGGATTTTATCAAATGCTTTTTCTGCATCCACAAAGATGATTGTGGGGTTCTTTTCCTTTGTTCTATTGATGTGGTATATTTCCTTGATTGATTTTCTAATGTTGAATCATCCCTGTATTTCTGGAGTAAATCCCACTTGGTCATGGTGTGTGACTCTTGAGAGCATTTTTACTTTTTATTTCTTCCTCTGTGTTGCATTTTCTATGCAACAATACACTTTTTAATTTGGGCTGGAATGCTCTTCAGGATGAGGATTCCACATCACCTAGACCACAAGCTGTATCCATATAACACCCCTGTCTCTTACTCTTTCTCAGTATTTTTATAGCATTCATCTTGGAGGCATTTTTTGTGGCATATTCATTAGAAAAAAGTGAAGTAGAAACTGCTATTGAAAAGAAGATTCAAGAGCTTGGAGTGGGAGTCAAAGAGTGAGTAGCATGTTTTCCTTAACATCTCGCACAAACTTTCAGATATGTGTGTGTGTGTGTGTGTGTGTGTGTGTGTATAAACGCATTGCCAGTGAATCGATTCCAACTCATAGTGATTCCACTGGATTTTTGAGGCAGTGAATCTTTACAGGAGTAGATTGCCCCATCTTTCTTCCATGGAGAAGCTGATGGGTTTGAACCGCTGACCTTCTGCTTAGCAGTCAAATGCCTTAGGCACTACACCACCAGAGCTCCTTTTTAGAAGTATAATGTACAGTAAAGATTCTGACCATGTTTAATCTGTAAGTGACCAGGGCACCTAGCCTGATCCTGTGTGCTAATTGTTAGGGACCCTTGCTGACCAGATGAATGTGCTGCCTGTGGCTGGACAGTGACCACTCGGCCAGGCTTGGAGGCCATGTCAAGCACTTGGCTGAGTGACTGACCATGTTCATGTTGTCTGTCTTCCTTAAAGGGAAGAAGTGCAGGATGGGGAGCTCATTGACATCATGGACACCAAGGACAGGAGCTTTATCAAGAGTGATGGAGACAGAAAAAGGAAGGCCTTGAAAGGGTCATACTTCAGAATTGCATCAAAAAGTAAGTTTTAACCCAATACACAACCTAAAGTAAAACTAGAATTGATATTCCTCTAAACCTCCTCCTCACAGCAGCCAGTAAGATGAGATGCAGCCAAGAAGGTTAGAATGAAAATGTAACCTTCAGTAGATTTCCATTGCTCAAGGATAAAGACAAGCCCCTTACTATGATCTTCATGGCTCACTCTCTGGTTTGTCACAATATCTCTGCTTCTCTTCCTTCCGTCATGAACTGCCATGCCTGCTACTCCAGCCCTCCTGCTCTTTCAGTTCCTTGGGCTCCCCTGCTCCATCTGCCTTAGGATCTGTGCAGATGCTGCTTCTCTTCTTTGCTTACTCACTTCCCCTTTGTATGATGAAGCCCCTTTCCTTTAGGTCTCTGCTTGAGGAGCATTTCTTCAGGGAAACCTCCATGGCCCCCTGCTTTGCCCACCCCTCCTGTCCATGCTTTCAACTCATGTCCGTTGCACATTTATAGTCATGTAATTATTTGGCCACCATCTGTCCTTCTTGCAGACTTGAAGCTTTACTTGCTCAGTGGCCATGTCTTTTTTGTTCTCCATTGTATCTTCAGAGCCTAACAATGTACCTGAGACATGGGGACTCTTAACACCTATTTGCTTAATTACTTAATTAATTCTCAAGGAATTAACAATTGATTGAGTAAATCCAAACCATTCCGGATCTCAGTATGGGCTTCAACTGGGGAGCTCTATGATAACCTTAGAGTATGGAATAAAGCAGATTCCAGGTAGAGGGATATAAGCATGAACCCCTAAGAGGTCATCATCCTTCCTCCACTCTTCAAGGAGGACCTTCTTGATCTCCAGAGCCTTCAATGGCCAGTGAGTTCTGTGGGATCAGTGCTTGATTTCTTTTACACTCAAAAGAAATGAATGATCCTTTTCTACTTTTTCATCTCTCCTTTTAATGAGTGCTTGGTCACTGTGCTCAGAGCATTATTTTCTCCCCAGTGGCCTTCCTTCAGGAAAGCCTAGATCTGCCTAGGTTGAATGCCCCACCTTCACCCAACACACATAGGTTTCACATGCCTCTGTCCTTCTTCCTAGAGTACAAGACTGTGGATGCTCTGCTGCAGCAAATGTTTGAGTCTGAAATTGCACCAGAGGATGAAGGCCCTTCCTTGGATGAGATTCTGAACTTCTCACCCAGTGACATCTATCCCAAGAATCCCAATTTTGAAAATAGTGCATGATACTGAGCTTGCAGAGGATCCACAACTGGAAAGCAAGATAAGCTGTTAATCACTTTTTGCATATGCTATCTAGAGATTATTTGTCCAACCCAGGTTCCTTTCTGTGTTCTCATAAGTCCATGAGTCAGCCTTATCTGTCCCGAGTGACTGGATGAAAGGTTTGGAGACACTATCTCTGTGTGCCCTGCCTGGGGTCATTCCTAGGTTTGATCATGGAAGTGAGGAGATGAAAATTCATTGAGAAATGGTCAACAGTGTTTATTATACACATGGATGTACATGGTAAAGTCTTTTTCAGTGGGTAAAAGTTTCTCATTTATTTTATACAATATTTTTCTATTCTACAAAAGTAATACTGTGCTATAACATTACATGAATGAATTACAGATATTTAAATGTGAAAAAGAAATGTGTGCTAGTACAATGGCTTTAAATGCAGTGTGTCATGAAAATGAAGAAAAATGTGAATGTGAAAATAAACTAACATCACAATTGCATTTTGTTGTTGTTGTTGTTATGTGCCGTGGAGTTGGACCTGACTCATAGTGACCCCTCCTTGGGTTTCCAAGGTGCTATCACTACGGAAGTAGATTGCCCAGTCTTCCTTCCGAGGAGTGGCTGGTGGGTTTGAACCGCCAGCCTTCTGGTTAACAGTCAAGTGCCTTAGGCACTATGCTACAAGTCAGCTGCCTGTGCCCCTTCGTTCTTCTGTACATTGTCATGGGCATTGCTGGAATTAGTGGGAATGTTTATCCACAGCTTGAAGTCTTTGAGTCCATATATCAAGGTGGCAACTGGAGCTAGTTTGGTAGGGATTTCTCTTCCTCAGTTCTGACAGTGACCTCTGGGCCATGTGTAAGAGTAAACCCAAGAGCTTAGGGGCATGGACTCTGGACCCTGACTGGTTTCATACCTTGGCTCCTCACTGACCATGTCACTTAACCTCACTGTGTCCCCATTTTCTCAACTGCAAACTAGGATCAGTGGTCCCTACCACACAAGACTGGTGGCGTAGTGCCTAAGGCATTTGACTGCTAACCAGAAGGCTGGCGGTTC